TAAGCAAAGGCAGCTGCGTCCATCTTCGGAGTAGTGACCACTGAGGACACATCAAGAGAAAGAACAGCCAGACAACATGAATTGTGAAAGCACATGTGAGATGGACAAGGATAAAACGACACATTTGAAAGGACTCAGAGGAACTGTCTTGGAACAAACATCTCATTAATGGGAAGTTGGTGAAAACTCAGAAATGGAATCAAAGTGCTGGGGATTTCTGCATTTTGTTCTCTGTTAGCTGTTGATTCAGATTCACTGAGGAGCTGCGTAAGCTATGGCTGAGCTGGTGGCCATTTTGTGTCACTGCACTGAAAGGCTGCCTGTATGAAATGGTAGCTTTAAAGGGAAGGGCTCTTAAAGGAATCTTCTCACAAAGCTATCAGTTTGTGTCTACAGATGCTATTCTCTGCTGTTGCATGCTTTTCAGTTTGTAGGTATCAACAAGACTGTAGAACAATACTGACTTCTCTGTTAGTCAGTACTAGAGATTGTTTAGAATTCATAAGTAGTCGACAGATATAGACAATCTATAATTTTATTACAAATTTATTGAGATTATTTCTTAAAGAAAACCAGAATACCTGGCTGCATCCTAACCAGCATGCTGAGTACTCATACAAAAAGAGATCACAGAAGCAGGGCTGTTTGTTACAGTGTGAGGGGAGGGGTTTATTTCTGAGAAGAACTAGTCTCATCTGGTTTGAACTGGTTTCAGCTGCACGTCTCTGATTGGCCAACAGTGCTTATCTTGACACCACTGATAGCCAACATTACTTGATTTGTACATGTGAATGTAGCTTTCACTCAGGCTCGACCGTTGGGTTCACTTTGTTTCAGTGAGGTCATTCTGCCTAATGCTGTGTGTCAGCTGCGTGTCAGTGCACTGTAGCAGTACAACACTTGTGCAATTTTGTGCACCCAACACATCTTTTTATCTCACACGTTGTGTGTGCATTTATTTTTAGTATCCTATTTTTGTAGCTTTGCTTTACTCCCTCTGGTGTTGCAAACAACATATAATCCCCCTACAAAATATTGAGAATGGTACGGTCCATCCCTGCTGCTTGGTATGCAACATTCTGTGTGTGTCAGGAAAAGGGAGGAAGGATAACCTCATTGAAAACAATGAAGCTTGACTGTTATCATAGCATGTTGTTCATGCGTGTTAGGTTGGTGCTCAGATTATAATTTTGTCATCATATTTTATAAAAGAGATTTGCATTTGTTTGAGAAAAAGCTTTCCTAATCAGGGCGAGGTCACTGTTTTTTGTAGTATTAATATTTGTTGGGTGTGTTGGGTGTATGTTATGACTAAGATGGCTTTTCAATTATGTGTAAGGAAAAAGCATGTTCCTCAACAAAACAAACACTTCCCACCCACCCTACCCACCCCCTGTCCCTCAACCTTTGGTATGTTCCTGGCATCAGATTTCAGACTGCCCTTCCCCCACTGTTTTTCCTTGTTTTGCGACACTCCCGTGACTAAAGCAGAGCCAATCCGAGACTGGCTCCCTGTTTTCGTCCTGATGGCCTACTTTTGATGTCAGTTGTTTGGTAATAGGTTGAAGCTGTACCTTAGACGTTTGCTCATTGCATGTGCTGTTTTGCTTTACTGCGAGCCTAAAAACAAGGGCTGGCCTTTCTTGACCAAAGGGGCTACCTCCTGTCCATTAATTCATACGAAAATTAGCATAAAGAGCAGCTTCCTTTCTCAGTCGAAGGTGGTTAACCCTTTGTTTGGTGAACACAAATAAACAAACATCAAAGATAATACCTTATGTAGCAGGTATCCACAAAGACTGTTATTGAAGAAGCAGGCGAACAGTCCTGTAGTAATTCCTAAATGTACAAAAGAAAATTTAATTAAATTTGAATAGGAATATTAAAATGTACTCAGAATTTGAGCAAATTTGGTTTATCCTTATGCTAAACACAAACATATGCAAGCATTTCTTTAAACCTCCTGAACGTGGGAGACTCAGCAGATAATTTATTCAGAATTCATGCCAGTAGATGAAATGATCAGTTGTACAGGATGAATACTGAGCCAGGTGGGATGCTCGCTTGCAAGTGAAATTGTATTTTATGGTTTATACTGTGCGAATGTTATCCAGTTTATTATTTATAACTGAGATGCATTGGCATGCTTAAGCCGTGTGGCAGTAGTGCTCTTCAAGAGATCACTAGAGCAATGGGCGCGGACCAGATGCGCTCATGTTTGTGCTTCATCTTTATTAATGTGCGTGTGAGAATTATGCTACAGTGCTGATACCCTTGAAGCTGAAAATCTGTGAAAGTTGAACAAGCGGACTCTCTGGATGTTTGTTTCCATATGTGCAGCAACAACCGTTACTGATCTGCGATGTAAAAGCTAAGTGAAAGCCAAAGTAAACAAGTCCAGCTGCAGGCTGACCTGGTATTAGACGACCTACCGAGATGTCAGTATGAAATGAACTGATCTCATCCAGTCGTCAAGTATGAGGGCTAGGCCTAAATGGCCGCAGACATATTCCCTATCAGTGCTGATCTAGTGCATCTGTAGGCCTGCCTTGTCTTGCTGTTCGGAGGGGCCAGGTTTCTTCCTACTTGGCAGCTGCAACTTTGCTAATTAATGAGTGTAGTATGGAATCTCAATAACACAGCAATGCTAAACCAAACCATTCCTATATCGTTGATTTTTAAACTAGTATAGTTTTAATTATGTTAGGCTGTTGGTTTAAATATTCATATGAAACACAATTTTCTTGTCTGCTAACCTAGGACAGAAATGTCTGAGCTGTTGGATTACACTAAAAAGTAGGAAAGAAGAAAAAGACAGAGGACAATTGTGCAGGTCCATAAATGATTTTTAAAGTGGTTTATTTTCTGGTTATTACCTAGTTATCTGCAAGTGTTGTAATTTTAAATAAATGGTCAGATATGAAAAGAAGTGAAATAGAAAGGTCTCTAAGGTATCCCAGAATATAGCAGAATATTAATCTAGTGAGGAGACGATGGCCAAAATTTTTTATGACATCACTGCTGGGATGCAGATTATCACACATCAGCAGTTTTACAAAGTAAAGATCTAAATTAAGCACAGAAGCCCCACATATGGTTTCAAATATATATTTTAATATTGGCAGTTTCTTTCATCAAAAAGTTCATAGTCCACCTTAAGTGGCTTGTTGCTTAGAGTTGTTACTTAGCAACTGTAGCTCAGTAATGTAGGTTATTAAAAAAGAAACATGCTTTTGTACCTGATAGAACACGTTTCAACCAGTAAGACTGTGTGATCAGAATTGACTGTTTTATGAAATATTATAATGTAATGACATTTCAGTTAAGTATTGCAAGAAAATGAGTGGAAAGGCAGCAAGCTGGGAAAGGTCATGTTCTCATAATCAGAAAATCTACAAGCTGTTGCCTCTCAAGGACATGCTGCATTGGCAACAAGCACTGGCTTCTCATGATTTCCTCTACAGTTGAAAACCAAGGAAATATGAGACAAAATGTAACCCAAGAAGACGGGTCTAATATAGGTAATCTCTAATCTAAAAGACAATTCTTCTGCTTAAATCTAACATACTAGCTAGTAATGGTACTAATATTGCAACAAAGTATATGTTTGCAATAAATGCTAAAAATGACCTTGAACTACGTTGTGTAGGTTTGCGACTAACTCTGGCAAAGGGCAGCCTGACTGTCGGCTGAATCCATCTGCGATTCAGCAGTATCCATGAGACAATAGAAATCATCATGTTGGGATAATCTAATTTGCACTCTTAAAAACAAAGGTTCCTAAACGGTTTTTGGTTTGGCTAAACCTTAAAAAGGTTCTTTGCACTTGCGCATCTCATTTACATAAAAGGTTCCATTCAGTAAAAAGTACTTGAGGGAACCAGAAGATGTTCTTCTACGACATTGCGCCAAAGAACCCTTTTTAGCACTTTTTTTAAGACTGTACATGCTTCAGACCAGTGCGTCTCAACCCTGGTCCTGGATTTCCCCTACCCTGCACATTTCAGTGTTGCCCTGTTACACACCCACTTCAACTCAGGGGGAGTTTGGTAATTACCTGATTAGTTGGATCAGGTGTGTTGGAGCAGAGAAATCACCAAAATGTGCAGGGCCAGGGTACTCCAAGACCTGCCGGAGTCGGGAACAGCTGCTGTAGAGTGATGCAGGTTAGAACTAACTGGAAGAACCACATTTGTATACTCCTGTATAATCAAATGCTTATGATGAGTGGTTGATTAACGATTTTTGGTCCTTTAGTTAATAAACAGATGGATTTGTCTTGCTCCCTCTTGTGTTGGGTCAGAGTAGTGCATCCTGTCACCCCCTCTGCTTTGTGAAAATGGTATGTTCTATTACTGGCAGTAATTTTCCATCCTGTTTGCTCAGTGCAGTTTGCTGCAGTGGGGGAGGGGATGGTGATCCCCTTTTTACTGTGTATTGTTCATCTTGTTTTTAGTGGCACATGAGCTGTTTTTGTATTTTGTTTTTTTTTTTTAGTGATATCAGTTTTCACCTCATACATTTTAAAATGATTAAATGACCTTTTACAATTAGCAGGTTAAATTACTTTTATTTTTCTGAGCCCAGGTTGCTAAAACTGTTACATGAATGACAGTGTTTCATACTGAATAATCGTGCAGCTTGTATCGACTTTGGGATCGTGGCTGTGCGAGAGCTTCAGCACCGCTCTAGTGTTGCTGGCAAGACAACAAAGAATGTCCTCCCCCAGTGCACGTGGTAGAGTCCTAGCTGAACTTCCCTCCCTCTCCTGTTTTCTCTCTCTCTCTCTCTCTCTCGCTCTCCCTTGTCCTCTCGCCTATATATTGAGCACGCTACGTCAGCTAGAAACGCTCTCGCTCTTTCTCTTGCGAATGTTCATGGCCTGCTTCTGAAGCTCGCACAGGTTAACATTTCTAGATTATTTTTTAACACTTCTTTTGTCAGCCAGACTTATTTTTTTGTGTAGCAAGTCTTTATATATTTCTTCTTTTATGTCTTTAATTTATTTACATCATTGATTTTATGAAATCTTTTAGGTGTATCGAATGTGTTCAGTTCGTCGCGAAGTTAAATTTGTCATTTTGCTGTTTTGTCTTTTGTTGAGTCGCGGAGCTGCTAGCGTGAACAGATGACTTAACGTGGCGTGAATTGTTCATCGTGTGACCAATTTTTTTTGTTTTGTTTTTTTTTGGCAGAGATTTTACCTTTTTTGTCTGTTTCAGCTTTTAGCATTACTTTTTCATCATTGTTGGTTGGATTCTGTTGTGTGCTTCAGATTTAGCGTTGTGTACCATTTGGTCATGTGAGGCATCTGATTTCAGTGGTGCGCCCTCTCATGCTGAGAATGAAGATGCACCCCTGCCTGGGGAAGATGGTATGCTCTGTGCCTAGCTGTAATTTTACACTTTGCTCTGCTTGCCATGTGGCAGTGGGGGAGGGGTTAGTCTGCTACGTTCCAGTTTCCTGTTTTCAGTCTTCTGTTAAAACCACATTTGGAGTCTAATGTTTGTAAAGATGATCAAGAAGTCTGTTGATCATCTTTTAATCTCTAGAATTTGATTTTAAAAATTTGTTTTTGATGGTTTGACCCAAGGTTTCATGGCCTGATTTTGTGTGTGGTTTCTTTTTTTCTGGTGTGTTGTGATTTGCTTCTGGATTAGGGTGTTGGTTTATCATGTGCGGGTGTTGCTACACCATGTTCTGCTGTAACTAAACAACACTGTAAACCACATGGTAGAGTCCTAGTTCCCCCTCCCCCTCCCCTTTCTCGTTCTTTCTCTCGCGCTCTTGCTCTCTTGCTCTTCCTGCTTTCTTGCTTCCGCCTGCATATTGTGGCTCTTTGGACTGTAGTGGCTAGGTTCACGTTCTTTGCTCACGTTCCTGCTTGCAAAGCTAATGAAGGCCTACATTTAAACAAGGATTATTCAAGGTTTTCTGGCTTTTTTTTTTTGGGTTTGACACCTTAAAATTACTTTTGTAGGTGGGTTTTTTAATTTTTTCAAGGTTTTATTTTGCACATTTTGGAATTTTCACATTTTTGAAAAACAACTTTTTTGGGGATGGGGTTGTTATTAACGTTCTCTATGTTTGCGTATTTGCTTATGCGTCCGCAGGTGTGTTTAGCTTTGACCTAAGTGGTATCATGAAAGTCGCTAGCTTAAACGCAATGTGTTTAGCACTTTTAAATCAAATTGTTGTTGTTTGTGTTGCTCCTCAGGATGGGAAGGCCTAAGGTGCATTCATACAAGTAGGTCAAGGTATGAAAGCTTGAGAAGAGGAGGTGTTTGAGTCTGCTTTGTCCATGAGATTACCAGGACACTACTCAACTGAGTGAACACTTTGATGGTTCCAAACAGCAAACTGTTATTGATTGTGTTAATATAGCCTAGACGGATTTGAAAATGGAGCTAATTTAAACGGAGGTTGCAGTGCTTGGACTTTGAAACCTTTCATGCAACCTTTGGGGACTTGTCTGCAGTCTCTGCTGGATGAATTTTCTCATGTTTTGGGCTCTGCTGGATGGATTTTCTCTTGGTGTTTTGGGTTGCTTTCACTGGGGAGCCTGTCGCCACAGAAATCTGGTAATGAGTAGCACATACTGAGTATTGTCTGAACTCGCTGGCCAACTTGGGAAAGGGAAAAATCTAAGCCCAGAAATTTTACCCCTGACTTCTGTTGGGTGAAAGTTTGGACTAAGAGAGAGATCTTTTATATGGTTCAGATAACCTGTTTTGAGCAGCCATCGAACTTGTAGTTAAACATGAATATAGCAGTGCACAGTGAGCTGGCAGTGAGGTTGTTGGCTCGTGTGTTTGCTAGCAGTAAATAAGAAATGCTGAGCTATTTATTATTTATTCATTTGGACTTATTAAAACTATGCAGATGGTTACATAGTGGTATGGTAACAAAGGGCTACATTGTCTTTATAAATTAATAAAGGTTTTCTTTTGATATCTTTTCTTTTTTTTAAGAAATGATGACTTTCTTTACATGTTGCTCATTTTTGAAAATTGTAGAATCCATTACTTGAGACAATTTTCCCCTGCATTTACTTACTTGCGAACAATGAATCGGGTACAGATCGTCTCTCCTGCTAGGTGCATGCAATAAACAAATGCTAACCCGTCTGTGCTTTTGTTTTTTATGTATTGCAATATATATCTTTACTTGTTGGGACATTTGAGTACTATTTGTTTAAAAATATGAATATTCCAATTGCAAACATGGTAAACACAACTCTAGTATTTAGATGGTAAATAATATCAACAGACAGAAGTCTAGGTAGCATGACCAAACATATGGTAAATACTACCATCCATGGCCTATCAGTGCATTTTTTCCCCTTATTTGGGATTTGTTCTTAGTTAAATCTACTTAGAATTGAATCTACGCACACTCGAGCACAAAGAACAATTCTGCGGTTTAAGAACAGAATCTGATGTTGACTTTTTTTTGAAGATTTTTGTTAAGAACAAATTCAAGAAAAAACTTAGTGAGATATTAGTGAGGCGCAGTGTTTTTGTGGTCAATACCGATCGCCTTTGAGTGCGATCGGCTGATAGCTAGCACCGATCGAGGGCGGGGCTGGATGCCACATTCAGAGATGCAGTTGGTGATTCTGAAGACGATTGTTGATATTTAAACGCAATAGCAAAACAAATACTCCTCCCTTCAGTGCTTTTAGATGTTAATGGTCATAAAACCCTTCGTTAACGTTGTACATGTAAAAAAACTGTTGCTACACAGTTAGCAATTGCTGCTGTGAAGCTGATGAGTTGGGATTAGTTATCACAAAGATTGGATCTGTAAAACAGCAAAAATTAGCTGTTGTTACCCACCTGTCATCCACAAACAGAGTAGCCTCATCATGCCTTTCAGCTTTCGATGAACCAGAAATCAGTTCTTTTTCGACAGCTGCTTGTTCGAATTTTCCTGTTCCACCTGAAATGTTGCAGCTGGTACAATTTGGCGCCTCAGGCTAGCGTAGCCTCTGAAATAACCGGCGCAGCTTGTCGGACAAAGTACAGAAGAAATAAAATACGCCTCCTTCACGGATGTATTTTAACCATTCAATAAAAAGAACTGACATACGATGGCTTTTGCAGTTCTGCGTCTTATTTTAATTTTCAGTCCCTGCCAAAGCCATAGGTTATGAAGCTAGTGCAGTGTAAGCCAAGCTAAGATTGAAATTCGGATGCTAATGTGCTAACACAAACGAATCCTTAAAATTTTGACAACTGCGTTAATTACAGCTCTATGTGTTCACACAGCGAGATTACAGCGACATAGGAGCCAAGTATGTAATATACTTCAGGACGTGTTTTTCATTAGTGAAACAGCACCTCGATAAAATATGGCATATGTTTTAGATCATTGATCAGCTCTCAGGCTAAGGCAGAGAAATATTGGCCAACTGCCGTTTGCATATTTGTGCTGAAAATCGGCCAAAACAGCCAATCAATCCTTCCGTCTCTACTGGAAACCATATTATGTTGCAAATATAAACTCCAACCTAAATTCTTGGGTTGAAGGGGATTTGTGGGTTGGCTTGCTGCAATATGCAAACGAATCTTCAAATTGAACATTAGATTAGAAAATTGTTTCTGTACTGTGAGCATCTTGACATACACATGTCCAGATGTGATTTTGTGGATGATTGGATGAGTCACAGCTTTCACACGATCCAACAAACATTAAATCATATTGATAAAAAATAATGTAGGCCAATTTCTAGCCATGTAAAAGTGTTCACTTGTGTAGTTTTCATAAATTGCAAGTTATATTGCATTTGCAATCTATCACAATAAAACTGCAATGTTGAATTGAGGCCTTATTTGTTTTATGGGAAAATGTGAAACCCAGGAAAAGCAAATTAACATGCCACTTGTTAAAAGGTTTGGCCGTTTGCAAGAAGTATTGGTTGCGGCTTTACATGCTACTACGTGGAATCACTTTGTTGTACAGAGACCAGGGTGGGAACACAGAACCATTGTTGAGGATTCGCACGTCAGCAGAGGAACAACTGGTTTGCAAGCTTCTAAGAATTTACAAGCCCACATGTGAAAACGGCATATGGCTGACATGCAGCTGGATCACCGAAGCAAAACGTGCTGATATCAGTAAGCTTGGACATGAGTTCAGCTATGAGATCTACTTCAGTAAAGCACTGAACCTCTGATGGTACTTCACTGTCGCACCAGATGATCAGCTTGCTTGAAGGTTATTTGAAGTGAAGTTGTCCTTTGCGCTCACTGCTCCTAGAGACGTGATATGCTGCGCTGTGTGTTTAGATTGCTAAGAACTTGTTAAACTAAGTGAAAAACAGATCATGGCTGTGAAAGGTTGTTTTCTAAGAGATTACCGACTGACACACCCATAGAAAGATTTCGGTATTGCTCCCTCTTGTGTTGAGTCTAAGGTGTGCATTTCCACACCCCTCTCCTGTGTGAGAATGGTATGATCCATGGCTAGCTGTAATTTTCCACTCTCTTTGTGCAGCAGTGGGGGAGGGTTTAGTCTTTACAACATTCTTAACTACAGATGGAGCCTTTTTTATACAATATTTTATAGTTATTTTCAGTGCATTTTGTGTTTCATCCTCTTGAATCAGGGCTTGATTTTGCTTAATGAAGGTTTTGCTCTTTTCTGCTGCAGTGTTATGCAATGTGTTGTATTTTCGTTGTTGGTGTGCGGATCTTTTTGAAGTATGTTGTGGTGTGTAGAGCTACACCAGAAAACCGTGTGCTCCACCCAACAGCACAAGTCGTAGTCCAAGTTGAGTCCCCCCCCCACCCCGTTCTTCCTGTCTCTTGCGCCTACATATGATGTGCCCTTTAGTCTGAGAAAGGCTAGCTTGCTTCCCTGAGTGCATACTTTCTTTTGCAAGCAGTCTTGGCAAACTAGTGAGCGAGAATTAAGAAAGGTTAATCTTCTGTATTCTTTGGGGCACTTTCTTGTCTGATTTCTATGGTTCCTGATTTAAATGGTGTTTTAATTGTCATGGATTTTGTGTGGTGATCAAAATGTTCAGAATGAAAACTGAAATTACTTATCTCTACATCGGACATAGCACACTTTTAGCATAAAAGCAGAAGTAGATCAATTAACATGTTCTAGAAAATAGCAGTTGGAGTGACCCACTTTACTCTCACTGTGAGATCGCAAGATCAGGGATTGTGTGAAAAGGGACAGGTTGTGGTTCATGCCCTTTGCCCCTGTTGTTTTAAGGCCTAATAAATGTCAGGCTACAGCTTTTATATTTTGTAAAGAATCAAGGGAAAACTCATTTGACTTGTTCGGTTCCACACCCCTCTCCTGTGTGGGAATGGTATGATCCGTGGCTAGCTGTAATTTTCCACTCTCTGTGTGCAGCAGTGGGGGAGGGGTTAGTCTTCAGCGTTACAGCATGTTGTTTTTGACTGTAGATAAAGCCCATTTTTGTTCTGTATGATTTTTTTTAGTAGTGATTTCAGACATCTTGTTTTGCTATTTACAGCTTATACATGTAATATCAGGACTTCGGACATGATGCGCTTGCTTCTTGCATGAAAGCAGCGAGATTCGCTTGTTAGCTTTTATTGGGTGAAATTCAAGTCAGTCACTGTAGGAAAAAGCTTGGTTGGAGTGATTCACTTTACTCTTTCTGAGATCACTAGTTCAGGGGTTGTATATAAGGAAAATGAAAACAGCATATGGCAGATGTGCAGCTGGATCACAGGATCACAGTGTGCTGATATCAGTGTGCTCGGGCATGAGTGCAGCTATGAGAGCATATTGCTGTTTGCTGGGCTGTGTATTTAGATTGCTAAATGCATGTTAACCTAAGTAGAAAATAGACCATGGCAGCGAAGTAAGGTCATCTTCTAAGTGATATCCGACTGACACACCCATGGAAAGATTTATCTTGCTCCCTCTTGTGTTGAGTGTGAGGTGTGCAGTTCCACACCCCCCTCCTTATGAGGATGGTACGATCCGTGGCTAGCTGTAATTTTCCACTCTCTTTGTGCAGCAGTGGGGGAGGGGTCAGTCTTCTGCGTTACAGCATGTTGTTATTTTGTCTTGTTGTGTAATATTTTAAAGTCATTATAGTGATTTAGTTTGTTTTCCTTCTTAAATACGTAGTCTAAAGCTTGATATTGACTTGGATCAAGTGCCTAATTTTCCAATTTTTTTATTTTAATTTAATGCAGCATGTTGCATTTGCATTGTGAGTGTGACGATGTTCTTACACAATGCATTAGCAACACCTGATTACAGTGTGCTCCACCTGACAACATATGTTGGAGTCCTAGTTGAGTTCTCAGTCTCCAGTTCTGGCTGTCTGTCTCGCCTACATATTGTGTGCCCTTTAGTCTGAGAGAGGCAAGCTTACTACCTTGAGTGCATACTTTTCTCTTGCAACTGATCATGGCTTGCTAGTAAGTGAGGTTAATCTTTTTAATTTCTTTTCTTGCCTTGATTTCTATGGTTATTGATTCAAATGGTGTTTTAAGTCATATTCATTGCGATGTAGTTTTATTTATTTAAAAAATACACGTATTAGCATGTCTTGACTTCGGAAATGGCGCATTTTTAGCATAAA